ACTAAGCAAACAAACTTTATCTTCTGCATTCATTTGTGGTAGGTTTACTTTATATATTTTTAGGATGTGCTAACTCTGTTTTGTAAGGTTGCTATTAAGTAAAATGAGTTGCTGTAGTAACCTAAGACCTTCTTTCAAGTTATCATTTCTTTTGTAGAGTTATGGAGTGTTGTGGTTGATCGACTATTAACATCTGGACTATCCAAATGAAGACGAAATATGAAGCGAAGGATGAAACTCAACTAAACCATCAACACTACTTCGGATGATGTCGATCAACAAATCTGAAGTAGGTCTAGGATTGATACATATATGGTCCTTATGTCCATGTCTTGTGATTGCTTTATAGGGTTGCCCACGTTATGAGCCGGTGTTTGTGCTTGTGCCTTTTGCCTGGATTACCAATAGAGTCATCCGAGGACTAAATCTTCTACCCAGATCAAATAAATAAATTTAATTTAATCTTTCAAAATAAAATAAAACACATAACCAAAACAGAAATCACATCACAACTTTAGTAGATGACATGCATATAAAACAATCTCGATTGACATTGAACAAATTGAATAGAAATCTCTTTTTCGATCTATGAATATGAACTTGACTTTTAGGTATATGCATAACATTTTGCTTCTATTCTTTGACTTTCGGACACTCTCTCATTGCATAATAGGGGACTGGTTTGATTCGTGAGAACCATTTTGCCACATGGAAGTGAGTTCTGCCCTCTGCATACATTTGACTTTATAAATTAATCTTCTAAAGATTCATCATTTACACAGTTTGTTTCGACGTACTCAACACTAATCAAACATAATAAATACTTGAATGTGGGGAGCCATAAAAATATTTAAATTTGAAGTCTCAAAAACATATTTGATTTGTCTTAGAAAATTATGCATACCATACTCAAGCAACTTGATGTATAATTAACTCATAAGGTCTACTACTTCTAATAAAGAACAGCCTTAAACCATCCTATATTTCATTGAGACGATTAGGTAGTTTAGATAACAACCCTTTCAAGACAGGGTCGTAAGTGCATTGCATTTTAATTAGGGTTTTGAAGTTTCAGTTTTCTCAATGAACTTCACCTTAGTTCTAGGATTTGAGGTTATTCGTCGAGCGTCGATTTACGACATAAATCCTCATCCTCTTAGGCTTTTGTATGATCGTATGTCATGTAATATAAGACCTAATATTCTAATAAGACATCATGATGAAATAATAAATTTTCTTCAAAACATCAAAATCAAACAATAGGACAGTTTGGGATATTATTAAGGTTTCCTCGGTATCTTCTATGTCCCCTACTGGTTCTCCTTTGAATTCTATTAATAATTGTTCACGTTTTTATCCTTTCTCATTTGAATTCTGACGACCAATCGTGGAAGCCTAAACTTAGAAATTTCTTGAGCACAAAACCTCAGCCTTGGTCGAAAATTTTCTTAAGTCACTTTTGTCACTTTTAAGATGTACTCGACTATAAAGGTTTGCCCTTATAGGAAGTTTGTAACTCATATTTATAGGTGAAAGATTTGTTAGTTTAATTGTAGACCTTGTAAATATTCAAAAAATTTTAATTTAAATAATTGAATCCCTCATAAAATGGTATTTTTATCTTTCGGGATGGCATATTATTTTTGATGACATGTTTGATTATTTAAATAATTAAATCTTCGAATCTATACGGTATTTAAAACCCCGCGTGGAAAAATAAAACCAACAGATAATTTTTGCAGCTATTCTTTTCTTCTCCACTAGATTCCACCTCCCTTGGAACTTCTGAGATGTATGAATTCATGTTTGTTGTGAACAGTCTTGTGATTTCATATTATCTTTATGTTGCTCAGTAAATTTCTTTCTCCTTGTATGCACATAAAGCTCTTTATTGTCAATCTCAAGTTGGATGATCTCAATGGAATTTGGGAGACACGATGATTAGAAGGATGGAGAATAGATTGTGGCGATGTGGGTATCTTAAGTAATGTAGGGAAGTAGAATAGGTTGTGACGACTCTTAATTAGTGTTCAGTATTTAGAGTAATGTTCTAAGTTTGATATTCACCCGCACTCTCCTCATGAATATCAGATTTGGGGTAGTTGGTTTGATTTTTAAAGAATATAGCATCCATAGAGTTATAATATTTTTTTTATTGGAAAAGTAACACATGTACTCTTTTTTGTTAGAAGCATATTCAAGGAGAATACATTTGATGGATTTTGAATTAAGCTTTTTGTGGTTTGGTTGGTGAATGTGAGCAAAAGAGGCAATTAAATATTTTGAGAAGAAGATTGGATGAGAAGACTATGACATGAGGGTATTTTTCTATCACAATATCGAGAAAAACTTTGAATCCAACGATCATGTTTGGTTTTCTATTAATGTGGTAGGTGGTTGTGAGCACATCTCCCAAAAAAAATTTTCTTGGAACATTATGAGATAGCATTATAGACCTAGATACCTCGAGGAGATGTCTATTCTTTCTCTCAACTATCCTATTTTATTGTAAAGTTTTAATTTAGGAACTTACATGAATGATACCGTTTTTCTCGGGTCCAAAGATAGAATTGAAGTATTCATTTGCATTTTTAGTTTTGAGGATCTAAATTTTACATTGGAATTGAGTGAAAATTATGTTATGGAAGGACTTAAAGATTTGTTCAGTATCATATTTTTCCTTCATGGGAATATCTAATTAGTTCTAGTGCAACTATCAATAAATAAGAAACTCTCTGGCTTCATTAATGACTTTCAATTTTGATGGTCCCCAAATGTCATTCTAGTGATAAAGAAATGATGTAAGAGTTTATACTGGGACAGAGGATAAAAATGACGTGTATGTGTAGCAAATTGACAAATTTATACTGATAAAATATTGGTCTTTTATTAATAAAGAGATGAGGGTACAACTTTGCAACATAATAAAAATTAGGATGACCAAAATGACGACGTTATAGTAGAACTTGACTTTCAATAGAATCAAATATAGTAGACGCATGAATATCAAATGAGGATGGTGACGAAGACATTTGTGTTAAGAGAATAACATTCCTTTAGCAGGTATAGACCTTGATGCAATTCAAGACCGTTGATCACCTTCTCCAAATCTACCACCTGAAATTCACAAGTGCTAGATGGAAATTCAGTAACACGGTCCAAGTTATGATTAATCTTGCTAATTGACAGTAAGTTGCAATCTAATTGGGGAATATATAACATAGAAGAGAGCTGAAAACCTTTGGAAACTTTCGCTTCTCATTTCTGAATAATCCTGTAGTGAGATCCATTGACAAGTTGAACAAATTTAGAATCGGTAAACTCTTGATTGTTGGTGAGAGCATGAATATCTCTAGTCATGTGATAAAAAGCACCCGACTCATTATCCAAGATCAAAATATTTCATTGTCAGTGAGATAGAAGAGGATTTGATACATTGATGTATCATCAAGCTGATAAGCCTCTCAGTTGTGCTAGAAAGAAGTTTCGTCAACACCATTTGTTTTTTGGTGAAAGGGTTAGGGTCGGCCAACCCTTTAGAAGAGGTAACAACATCGGCCTTACTACCTTGGTCTTTCCTCTCTTGCTCAGGTTTCTATTTTGCAGGTTTTTCATGTAGTTTTCAATACCGGTCCTTCGTGTGACCAAGTTTCTTGCAATATTCACACAAGGGATAATTAATCTTCGGAGTGGAACTCGATGTCTTTATGCAGTACTTGGCCTAAACCCTATTTGTATTTAGGGTTGGCGCTTGTTATAGAGAGGAAGTTGGTTGCAGCTGCTGTAGGAAGAAAGGCACGGCGAGTTGCTGTTACAAAAGAGAAGTTAGTTGTTGTTACTACTACATGAGAGTGGTCCGACGAATGCTGAGAGACCCGGCCGCTGTTGCCGTTGTTTTTGCTGGAAGATGGTATGGTGATAATGAGGTGAATAACTAAGGGCTTGTAGGGAGAACCCGACGGAGAAGGGCTTGCAGCAGGAAGGAATCGGGTTGCTGTGTAGATCCAATGGAAAAAAATGTTACTAGGGGAGGCTTGTAGGAAGAATCCGACGGAGGGCCTGTAACTGGGATTTCCACCGGTAGGGATGAACTGGGGAGGATTTGCGGGCTGGCCAAAGGCATTCCAACGTCTATCGAGAGAAGTTCCGACAATTGGAATGTGTTCTTGGCCTCACAACCAAGCACTGGAAGGAGTGGCGTCTGACTAAGAAGCACAGGGAAGCCTCATCTACAAGGAAAGAAACTACTGCAGGGAGACAATTCGTTGGAAGGCTGGTTGGATAGGTTAAGGAGAATCAGCAGGTATGTAATAGGAAGATCCACTTTGGATCTGTATTCTGATGAGGAACCGCAAGATCCAACTGCCATGATCCAGAGAGAATTTTTCTTCCTCTCACATAGCGCCAAAATTGTGGTTCCTGAGCTGATTTTGCTCTGAAGGAAGAACTTGCGCTTGTTAAGTTGTGCCTACAGGAAAGAAAGAACTTGTAGTTGATAATCCGCGCCTGCAGGAAGGAAAGAGGAACACTTACAAGGAGCCAGTAGTGAGAAGAGGATCCGACAGAGGGCCTAATGGAACAAGCAAGGAGAGACTCTGGCCGAATAAGGATTGTTTCCAAGCTCCGATACCATGAAGGAAGGTGGGGAAAATCGTATTTTCTTATGTCTCAATAATCAACCATTACAACATTCTCCTTGTATAATAAGGGAACAAATAGGACAAAATTAATTACAACTATTACAACTTACTGAATATAAATTAACTCAAGAAGGAAAGAAATATGACATAAAAAAAATAGAATAACACTAAAATAGGAAATTCAGAATTCCACAAAATGTAATCATTTGTGTGGTTTCTAGTGCAATCAATTACGTGTTGGCATAACAAAGCATGGTCAAAGGTAATGTTGTTTATGATTTTTTTTTACTTCCTTTGGTTATCGATAGTTTCTTTTTTATTAAATTGTCATTATTATTGTTGCTATTTACTTTTTTTCAGGTTTCAATCATGAAAATGTTGAGTCATCCCAACATAGTTAATCTTTTGGAGGTGATTAATGATCCACTGTCGGATCACTTCTACATGGGTATTCGCTGGATTTTTATGTGCTATTCTGTTGATATGGGTTTCTTTTGGGATAACATTGAGTTTCTCCATGTCTCTGATATTAAGACTTTATCGTTACTTGGTTATTGACCTTATTTCTTATTTGCAGTCTTAGAGTATGTGGAAGGTAAGTTGGTATGTGAAGGTTCTGGTCCAGAAGGCCGCATTGGAGAAAGTAAATCTAGAAGATACTTGAGAGATGTTGTTGCTGGTCTCCTGTATCTCCACGCTCATGTAATAAATAAATCTTTTCTCTTAGAAAAGAAATTCAGCAATTTTCAACCAGTGCATACTACTATCTGATGGTTTTTTTAAAATAATCATATTTGTAAATTTGAAATATCTTTCTTTCTTTGCAGTGCTACTCTGAAACACTTGGAATGTAGTCTTGTGTCCTGTTTGTTTGAGCTTTAATCCGAAATTCACCATTGTTGATAACCAAATAGAGAAGACCAATGTTGGATAATAATATTTTTTCTGCAGCTACATTAGTTTTTAGTTCTACTACCCATCTCCTTAGTTGAATCATGTGCCACGCTTGCAGTAAACAAATGTTGCACATTCACAGGACTGTTTGGTTTGCATCATTTTCTATTTTTCTATGTTTGCTAGTTGCACTGTGGGCTAATATCTGTCCTATCATGGTACCACATCAATGCTTTTAGCAATTTATTTGTACTGATTAAACTTAAATATGCTTTCCTCCCTTTTCCAATGTTCTGTGGCTGGGTGAACTTTCTCAAATCATAATACTATTAAGAGTAAAGTGCTAAAATAATTTGTTTACTATTTACATTGGGTCTTTTAGTTCCAAAGCCTATAGAAATGCCAAATTAGTTCCCAAAATTTCTTAATGGGGACTACAACCTTACCTTTTAAAGAGTTTTGGGACTGTTACAGTCCATCACCCGTTGATTAAATTGGCAATTTTATAGACTAGGACTAAAATGGCCTCTCTGGAATGTCAAAGGACCATTTTGATTCTTCTCATATTATTAAGTTGTGCATCATACCAATTGTGCAATAAATGCATCAAGCTTGTACTGTAATTGGTTTTTATTCAAGCGCATTAAAAAATTGCACAAAATCAGTTGTCCAGTAATTCCTACCTAAGATGCTGCTGCTTTTTAAGTCAACGTTCCTAGCTTTTATTTTGGTTGATGACATCCAAACCACCCTTTGTTAGAAGTAATATAAGTCATCTAGGAACATGCATCAACTCTGATTTATCTACAATTTCTCTTCTTATAGATGATTAAATGTGTTTTCTGTTTAGCAGAATGCCAGTTAACATTTTTTATTTTTTAATGCTGATATCCATGTGATTAGTTTCATTTACCAAATCTGTAGAATATTGTCCATGGGGATATTAAGCCTGATAACCTTTTGATTACCAGTACTGGAGTAGTGAAGATTGGAGATTTCAGTGTCAGTCAAGTTTTTGAGGTATGTGATCTAACATGTTATAATCATTAATTAAAATTTTAGCGAATCTTGTGTTAAGGCGCAAATTCCTAATGCTGCTCATTACATTATTCTAATTAGACCCGGATAAGTAAAAATATCCATACCAAAGTGGGACGACTAGTTCTTTAGGCTTCCATGTGCATTTTGAGGTTTGACCTATACAGCCTTATGCATCATAAAGGTTATTTCAAACAAAACACGTCCCTTAGGGGTTGCATGGAAGTAATCCAAGTATTGCTGGTCCTTGGCCCACCCTATCATACATTCAGAGTGTAGCTGATAAACTTATACTTGCATATTAACCGTACCTTAAGCATTAGCATTATATTTAATAACATAAATTTTAAGTATGACTTGCTGATAGCATATCACAAGTTATCCGCACTGAGCATATTATTATAAATGTTGACTGTTAGAATTTTGTTCTTTTATTTGGATGGGTGCCTCGATTATAGTTACAAAAATTTAAAAGAAATTGAAGTTGTTTGCTTTCAAGTTGTCATTGTTAAAATTGGTCCAAATTTTGATGATGCGCCTGGGTGCAATAACTATTCGCTTCAAGTTCATGGGTTTGAAATTTGAAACCACAACTTTGTGAAAACGATGGCATCATACATCAACCCTCCATGGACCTTGCAACTGTAGGGGGTCTCATGCAATGGTTTTGCCTAAAATATGGCTTCGGACGATTCCTAGCAAATGGGACGTATGCCATACTAGATCCACGGTTTCCTTTATTTGAAAGTGATACGGGTTTCATTATGGTAGTTATGTAATGATTCATTGTAGCCTATCTTCCTCATTTATCCATTTTTTAGATAACCAAACTGAATCAAAGTTCTAGTTTTGACGTGAATACCAGAACAGCAAGGTTTATTCCGGGATATGCGGTTCAGTTCCTAACTTCATTTATTAAGGTCCTGGCAAACTTGACACTGCCAACTGAGAAGCTTACTGCCGTTGCAGGATGATAATGATGAACTTCGAAGATCTCCTGGAACTCCCGTCTTTACCGCTCCAGAGTGCTGTTTGGGTGAGGGAGCTTTGATTTAAGCCCAATAACATGGCCGTGTCATCATGGAAGAATCCTGCATCCTTCAGGCATAACCGCCTGCATGTTTATTTTTGCAGGATTAACCTATCATGGCAGAGCTGCTGACACATGGGCTGTCGGCGTCACTCTATATTTCATGATTGTTGGTCGATACCCATTTCTTGGAGAGACACTTCAGGAAACTTATGACAAGGTCAGAAACCATTTTATTTTCTGCAACTCCGATGAATACATATAACGCGTTTCCTGATTCATGCCAGTTCTGTCTCCTAGATCGTTAACAACCCATTGGTGTTACCTGATGACATCAATCCGCAGCTTAGAAATTTGCTAGAACGTCTTCTCTGCAAAGGTAGCTCTGCAGATGCTATGTTCAGCTATGTTCTCACCCTATAATTTCTCCTTATATTCTTTAGCTATTCCCAACAACTAACATATTGCCCAACAGATCCCAAGCACCGAATTACCTTGCTTGCTGTGGCGGAGCATCCTTGGGTTGTTGAAGGGGATGGCCCTATACCGGAGTACCCATGCCGGCACAAAAATTTTGTCAAATTATCTTCGTATGTTATTTATTTATTTATTTATTATTTTTTTTTATGAAAGATGTTAGCAATTATTCGATTTCATTTTTTCTGATTAATGGCGCTGATGGATGGACATGTGTGTATTGCAGAAATTAATGGGTTACTTGGAGAGGTGATGATGAGTGTTTGAATGGCAATAATTATGGAATGATCACAGACCTTGAGCCTTGTTCTTTTGTGAGTATGTTATATTATTTCCCTAATATTTTGAGCTCGTTTTTTTTAATTATTGTAAGAGAGAATCTGTGGTTTTATGCCATGGACAATATTGTGTATATTTTTTTTCTTTTATGTTGGTAATGAACATTTCAGTGCAATTATTTAAGAGACAATACAAAACGGTTGTTTCCGTGAAAAGGTTGCTCTTGCTATAATGGCAAGCAAGATTAGAGAGTCGTCTTGGATGGTTTCGTCGCATTAAATTTTGACCATCTGATGATTCAGTTAAGGGTGTAGATGTTTTAGATTCGACTTATGTTATGAAAAGTAGAGTAGGCTTAAAAAGACTTGTTCCTATTATATAAAAAATGATCTTAATTCATTAGAATTAAGTGAAAATATGACACTCAATATAAGACGATGGATAAAAAAGATTGATGTAGGCGATCTCACTTAGTGGGATAAAGGCTTGTTTTTATTATTGTATGTTGGTAATAAACTTATGATGCGAGCAATTGTATAGTCTGGCGTAATCTTGTTTGATCTATTGGTTATTAGGCTACCTTATTGTAATGGTCGAATTTCTTGAGGTACTGATTTTATTTATTTATTTATTTATTTTTTTTTTTGGTGGATTGGTGAGTCGTTTTAAGCATAGCTCGAGTGTGGGCCTTTCTATTAGAGAGACAAAACTGCCAGTCGAGCTTCGTGGTTCAGCTTGTAGAACTATTTTAATTAATTATTTTTTTGTGAACAGTATTTTGTATGAACGCTTATATTTTAAGGTAATGTTTTTATTATACTATAAAACTAGAAATGTGAAATGAATGCGTACTAAATAATTTGACGAGGGTGTAACAGGGAGGGACGGGAAATATATTGTGCTTCCTTCATCTGGACCAACTCGGTGACCGAGAGGATTGATCGACCCTTCCACTGTGATTTGATGCCTCCTTTTCATAGGAGGATCCAATCTTAATTATTTAAAACTTAAATATGTGTTTCCTTTGCATTATATTTTTAGTTTTTTAAGTTTGTTTTTTTATTGGGATAACCATCAGCGTCTTCAATTCTTCCTCTTAGGGTTATATCTAAAGGCGAGATGGTGCTCCAGTTGTAATACATTTTAACATAGTGCGTATCTCTCATTTCATGCTCCCTACAACCACGTCTTCGTAGCTACCACCTCTCTAACTGGTCGGCTCTTCCAACCCCTTTTTTTAGCAATCTTCCTTGTTACGTGCTCTCAGCCAAGTATGGGTTCAGGCCTTCTAATAGTTGTTCTATAATCATTTTCTTTCTTACATGCACCCCTCCAGTCAAACCTCCTTGCCATCTGATCCATCGGTCACCTCTTCCCATTCCAGAATCCACCGCATGCCTTTCACACTACCATCTGTTGTTCCCTGCATCCATCCATCCTACTGTTAGCCTGTCTCCGCCCTTTTCACGGACTATCACCTTAGTGATGCAACTCTAATTGGGATTGTTGTTCTTGTAGCTGCTATTTCCTTTGCACTGTCATATCGCCTAGTGGCTTGTTTTTTCAGAAATAATATGATTTTATTATTGTTGTTTGGGTCAACTCCGATATCATAGTTCTTTTTTAGTTATATATCTAATACTTTGATTTTTGTGTATGTAATATTTTATTGTCACAACTATATCAAAAGTTATTAAAATTTAGGTGTTACATAAGTGAATACATAAATACGTGTGGCATTCAAGCAAATCCTCCAAAATGTAAATGATTTAAATAGAAACTATCAAATGGTCCCTAAATAAGTTAAATTATTTTTATATGTTAGTTTAACCAATTTTTTACATGTTTCTATTAATTACTTGCACAAATGAAACTAAGTTTGTGAATGTCCATATTAATATTATACTAAAGTATCTCCCTTAAAAGGTTTGGAAGCAACAGTTCATGCAGCTCAGGTAAGTTGAATTCCCATTATTTTCATTCAGTGATAAAATAAATTTATAACCCGTACGATGCACTTTTAGCAGTTTGAAATGCATGATTTTTCGGGTTGCGATCTGATTTGAAATAAAATCTCAAATCTGGAGTCATTTGTTCACTTTGTCTTCTTTATTCAATTTGAAAAAAAAAACCTCAAATCTGCAATCAATGTCATACCAAAATGTCTGGCGGTTGCATTTGCCTTCCAAGTTTTATACTTATCAAATATTGGCACTAGATTAAAAAAATTTCTGAAGTTATCTAAATCATCTCGCTTCAAAGTTGAGCCGCCGGAGGAAATAATTCATTCGTCCCGAGAAGTCGTTCAAGCTTACTAAAACTTTTTGGTTAACTTGAAATGAAGTTACTGAAGGCCTCGTCAGAGAAGCTTTCTGAAAGTACGTTGTTTATATGATGCTTATCTAGATTTGTCTATATACACTGATAGCAACAAGTTAGGTTCATTCATTTTAAGAAAATACTTGTTAAATATTGCCATAGTTTTACTTGTATTGATGAAATAAAGTATTTATTGTTATACTCAACTTTGACTTTGAACATTATCTAAACCAGAGTAAGAAAGATAAGAAGAAACGACATTGTTTGATACTTAAACTCAAATCATGTTATCTTAATCTTTCTTATAAAAAACAAATTATATAGCTTCCATTTTAGCTATGCACTTGTGAGGAAAGTTGTGGTATTGCTCATAAATAGAATTGAATCTAACATTCGTTTGGTGTAATCAGCATAGAACCTTCTATTGTGTATGTGAATCAAATTTTATGAGTCTCACTTGCCTTACCCTTACGAGGTAATTTTAAACACATAAATTGAAGACCTTTATTAGAGGTGTCAAAAATTGACCCAACATGACAACTCAATATGAACCTGACTCAAAAGATTCGAGTTTGGGTTGACCCAAATAATTTTCAGGTTGGGTTTGGATTGTGAATTCTATGTCGTTTAATTTTTTAGGTAGTTTTTGGATTGATTTTTTTGTCATGTAGCCGACCAACCCACATAGTGAGATTAAGGCTTTGTTGTTGTTGTTGTTGTTGGTGTTGTTGTGTTTGGATTGATGCACCAACCAAGAATTGACTTGCTAACCTAAAATTGACCCAAAATTGACTTGTCAATCTAAAAGTAACCCGAGCTTAACTCAAAATTGATATGAATTTGATACAAATAGTTGTTATGCCTTAATGTGAAATAGATTATATGGACTGGGTTCAGGTCAACAGGTTGAATGTGTGTCAAGTTCATGCCTAAATTTTTTACCCATTTAATATTTGGGTTTGGTTAGAGTCAAGTAGTTTTGGGTCAGTTCAATTTTGGGTCAGACCCGAATTTGCAAACTCGATTTAACGCCCCTAGTTTTTATTATTGGATTATTCATTTAATATCCTTTAGTTTGCCATCAGTTTGATTTTGTTTTATTAGCTTCTTTTTAAGTATTTCTTTTAGTATATGCCTTCTAGTCTTTTTCCTTTTTTTTTAAAAAAAATTATTTGGTTTTATATGAGTCATTATGTGAGCCAACTCTTTTCACTTATAACTTTTTGTTTGAATATAGTGAATTTTTTCTCTATCCGTGTTTTTTCTTATTTTAGTTTTTTTTTTCTTGTATAATCTATGTTACTTTTTTATTTATAACATTGTTCATCTTATCGACTATGTAACAAGTAGTATCGGAGTAATTTTTTTTATTTCAATGGTGGCAACAAGGAATTACATTATTCTACTTTTGGATGCAAAACTAGAATTTTATTTTGACAGGTTAAGCTACTAGCTTTTTTGGTGCAGTTAGATTTAAATAATGTGTAGTTAGGATGACAAGATTCTCTCATCATTGTTGTCAAAGAAAAAATAACAAAATGATCAAATGAATTTATCTTAGATTCATCTTCATTTATCAAATCAAAATTTATATGATATTTTGAAGTAAAAGACATTCATCATGTTATGGCTGAAATAAGAAGAGTGCAAGATGAAAAGTCTCTCTAATAAGTTACATATGAAGCACCATTTGCACTCTCTTAGAATGACTGAAGGTGTGTTTTTCATGTATCACTTAACTATTTTTAATAAATTATCTCTAATTTAAAGGCTATTGAGGTTAAGTATAACAAAAAAGATCTCTCAAAATTCTGTTATGTTTATTGCCTTTATTATATGTAATATTTAGAGATATCGTCTTATATTACTTGGAGTCATTTACTTTGAATTGAGTTTATGTTGATCCTTTATCCAAAAAAAAAGGGGATGTAGCGTATGGATGAACATACTTGGTACTGCTATGGGAGAAGGCCTTATCATTCAAATGAATTAAGGTGAAATGGTACATCAAATTTAAATATTACAAGTCTTATAGTAAAAATAAGAATGTGATTACTAATCAAAAGTGGAAATAACAAGATCATTCTAGTGGAGCTATATAGTCAAATCTTAGTTGACTTTGATGGTGAATCCTATGGTGATTAGACGCTTGATTTGGCTTCAAAGTTTCATGTGTCCCAATAGGAAATATTTTTCAATATGTAAAGTAGTGTTTAAAAGTAAAATGTTAATGAAGATGATGCACCTTATATGATTGTTGGTATTGAAACTATCATATCAAGATGTTTGATGGACTTGTCAGGTGATGCAGTGTTTTTTTTATGTGTTATAAATGTTTTTCAATATCACAACACACAAGACGACTGTACTAAAAAATATGCAAATTAACCACAATAAAATTTACTTCAGTACAATAAGTTTTCTCTTTTAAAATATCTAAACCTGCTACTTCTAGTGAATTAAGGTGTGCTTTTAATTTCAAATCGATACTAGGTTGCAAACGCAAGTATACGTATCACTCAATCACTCAAGTAATAAATGAAAATGACTCTAATGGAGTCCTGAATATCAATCCCACAGGGAGATGAAAATTTGTTTGGAATATCATGCAAAAGCACAATATTTAAACTATAGAAAATTTAAGCAAGAAAATAGGTTAAAGTTTGTGTAATGCTACTAAAGAATCTAAGTTTACTACACTAATATCTAAACTTCAAAGTTAAATTTACTAAAAACTAAACTAGGTTTTATGACGAAGAGTTCAAATTTAAGAAAATATCCTTCCCCTTACAATAAGATCATAGTCAGTGAATCATCAAATTGAAGAAAATTTTACTATGTCAAATATGAGCAATTATATTCTTTATTCTTTTTACAA